AAAAAAAAAAAAAAAAAAAGAAGAAGAAGTTACAAGTACTTATTGCTTTTGCAGAGGACCTGGGTTCAGTTCCCAGCATCCATATGGCAGCTTCAGTAACTACAGTTCCAGAGATCCAACACCTTCTTTTGACCTTTTCAGGTCCCAGGTACCATGGTACACATATATACATGCAAACAAACCACTCATACGCATAAAATAAAAAGAAATGTCTTTTTATGATGAAAGGAAAATATTCATGATCTTCAGATTAAGAAAAAATTCTTAAACACAAAAATCACTAATCATTACAGTTTAATTATTGAATACAAGGTCTACCAGGAAAGGAAAAGCAAAACCACTTTTTGTACATACAAATCCATGAAATCATTTGTATCCAGAATATACCAATAACATTCAACTCTTACCTCCCTAACTCCCCTCAAAATAAAAACCCTACTTGTCCAAAGGATATCTACAAGATATAAAGGAATACAAAAAGTTATTGGGCTTTAATAGGACTTAACAGGAAAAGCAAAATGGAGTCACAATGAACACCTCCACAAACCTACCAAAAGTGGCTTAAGTTGGAAAATGAGACTAGTGTTACAGAGAGTATGAGTATGACTCAGTACTTGGGAAATTATTTGGCACTATCTACTAAAGCTAACTATGCCTACCCCAGGATGCAGGAATTCCACTCCTAGGTTTATATAAAACATAAATGAATGTTTATACCTCACCAAAGATGTAAATAAGAATGTTTCTGACAGCAATATTCTGAACAGCCAAAAACCATCAGTAACTTTAGCAATCAACAACGCTATTATGAATGAAAAAAACATATGGTGTAGTCAGACAAAGAAATACTGTGAGCGAGCGAGCGAGTGGAAAACTAGGATGTGGGGCCAGTACGACAGCTCAGGGGGTAAAGGCATCGGCTGCCAAGTCTGGCGATCCGAGTTCAATTCCCAAAACCCACATGGTGGAAGGAGAGAAATGACTCCCACAAATTGCCCTCCAACCTCCACATGCATGCCATGGCACATCCACACACACTTATATACATGCACACACACACACACACAAAGAGCGAATAAATGTGAAAGGGCAGATGAGAATAAAAACAAGGGTATGACACCTAAGTATAATGTGGAGTACAGAAGCTAGAAACAAGACTATATAGTAAAAATTCTATTAATATAAAATTAAAAATCAGGTTGCATAAATCTATGATAAGAGAGGGGAGGGCTAACAAGGAATTGGTATTAACACTTACTAGTGAATGTACTATAAGGCTATAGTAAGGAAACAAACTAAAAAAATTCAGCTAGGTATTTAATGTAAATGCTAACAGTTAAAATATTTCTACTAATATCAGACTAATGTATATCAAAGAGCATCACAGAGATAACAAGAACATTCTATAATGATACAAGAGTTCATCATTAAGAAGACAAAAATGACTATTTGTTATCAGCAAAAACTGAAAGAAATAAAAAAAAGAAAAGAAAAAATTCTTTCAGGAAGAAATAGGTCAAGGAAAAAAAAGAACCAAGAAAAAAAACTGAAGAAATAAAGAAACAAATAAACCAACTCCTTTCTCAGGAAATGGCAGCTCAAGAGAAAACAGGAAACTTTAAATAGCTAAATTAATGAGTTTGACCTAATAAATTCCAATCACACAATATATGCTACCTCAGCTCTGATCACATTATAATTCAATGGCAGAAATGTAACCAGAAATCCTCGAGCGCTTAGAAACAGATGAACTTAGCCGGGCGGTGGTAGCACCCAGCACTCAGGAAGCAGAGCCAGGCAGATCTCTGTGAGTTCTAGGCCAGCCTGGGCTACAGAGTGAGATCCAGGGGAAGCACCAAAACTACAAGGAGAAACCCTGTCTCGATAAAAAACAAACAAACAAACAAACAAAAAGAAACAGATGAACTTCTAAACTCATGGATACAAAACAAAACAATTGAAAATGTACAGCTGCAGTGAAAACTGGAGCAAACAATAATGGAAGCAGGACCAGGCTGCTGGGAGAAAAACAGTACAGAATGTACATTTCAAAGAAGAGCTAGAAACCAATATGCTAAATCATCTACTTCAGTAAATTAGAAGAATGGACAGCAAGTTCATACCAAGAAAACAAAATATTAAAGACTGTGAATTCATCTACAACAGCAAAACAGAAGAGGCTGGAAGTCAATCCACTGAAAAACAAAAAAAAAAAACAGACAACTCCCTAGCAAGACAAATTTAAAAATGATATCAACCAATGGTCGTATGACTCAATAACTGACCAATACAATACTAAGTTCTAAAAGTAATGAGGTGAATAAACTGACACATAATTTTTAAAAGCCCATTGTAAAAATTAAATATATTGACTATCTCAGAAACAAACTCCAGGTTCAGAAGGCTTCACCTGTGAAACTCCAGAAGCATAAAAGGGAAATGGCAATTACTTCAGAAGCTTGCAGAAAGCAGTAAGAGAGAAAACACTCCTCTCATGAGACCAGCAAACCAAGACCCCAAAATCTGATGGAGGTATTAAAAGAAAATTACAGGCCAATTCTGTCCAAAAAATAGGTGAAAAAATTTAAATACATATTTTTAAAAGCATGCCAAATCTACTGATGCATAAAAAAGATAATACACAACCATTTTATAAAGTTAGTTTAATATTTGAAATTAACAAGTGAAATTCAACACATTGACCAAATAAGGGAGAAAACTGACTAGTGTCTCAACAGATGTAGAGGAAGCGTTTTACTGAAACTCAACACATTTCATGACTTTAAAAGTAAAATTAATACAAAGACTAGTCATGATGTTAATAAATAAAATTCAGCTAATTGCAATTATTTGTATTTTCAACAATTAGACAATGAAACGTAAGGCATTTTAATTAAAATAACCTCAGGAATATCATACATCTAGCAAACCTACTAAAAAATGTGGAATTCTCTATATGAATGAAGCTTCAATCTTATAAAGCCCTAAATATCCTGTGTATGGATTAGCTGACTCAATCTTAAAATTTCAATTAATTATAAACTCTTCTCCAGTTTTAATGGAATCCTAACCCAAACTCAGATCTCTCTAGCCTGCCGTGTGTGCATGCATGCTCACGTTCTGTGTGTGTGTGTGTATGTGTGTGCACACGTATGTGCACTGTGTGTGTGTGTGTGTGTGTGTGTGTGTGTGTGTGTGTGTAAACACAAGTAGAGGAAAGAGCAGGATCAGAGGAAGAAACTCTAGCAGACACACCAAGACTTCTTAGGAGATGAAGCAGCAAGAGATAGTGTGGCCTTGGCACAAGAAAGAAACAAACAAAATTCAGTACACATTAAAAAGTGAAGCACTGTAGAAAACAATTCCATGCAATGTTTCATTCACAACTTTAATCCACTTTCTGATCAGCCATATCAATTATAATAGCAGGTAAATATCTCTCATCACTATATTCTAAAACAATTAGCAAACATTCTATAAAATCGCCTTACCTCCCCAAAAGCTCCTCGACCAATCACCTTTAATATTTCAAAGTCTTCTCTGTGTAATCTCATTTGTTTCACTTTAGAAGTAAATGGTTTCGCTGAAACAAAAACAGTATAAGTTACTTTCTTAATAAATATGATATAAAGTAGATGTACAATAGATGAGTATTTCTTAAACAATAAAAATTCAATAGAAGCATGAAATAATTACTATAAATAAACAATGGTTCCTTTATTTATGTGTATATACATTTACATTTTTGACATTTATTCATTTTTTGTTTGAGACAGGATCTTGGGCATGTAGTCCATACCAGCCTGCAACTCACTGTGTAGCCCAGGCAAATTCGTAATCCTCCTGCCTCTACCTTTAGAAGTGCTGGGGTTACAGGAGCGTGTGTGTGTGTGTGTGTGTGTGTGTGTGTGTGTGTGTGTGTGTAGCAAATCTGTGTGTGCAGGTGCATATGTGTGTGCAAGTACATGTGTGTACATATACAGGTGAAAGGACAACTTTGGGTGTCATAAATGAACTGAGTAAGTGAGTAAGAACTGAATTTCCTAAGACAATAGTATACACATAGCCTATTTATGTTAATATATGTGCTTCCACAAAATCTGTATACGTGCCAGATTCTCATTTCTCATATATAATTCTACAGCATTTGTTTGCCTTATGCTTTTAGAGAAAATGCGTCTGTGCAGAAAGATACTATCCTTCATTTCTTAAGATACCCATCCTTTCAACCTTTGCTAAAACATTTTAACCACCATGTGCTCATCAGAATCAAATTTCAGTTACTCTGGTTTAAAAAATAGTTTATCTCAATACTGCCAGTTTGTCAAGTATTTTACAAGATGCTAAAGATACTAAGATGAAAAGAAAAAAAACAAGAGAATAGATCTTGTCTCTAAGTAAACAAATAATACAAAAAATACTATTTAAAATTTTTTGTATGGCTGAATGAAAATTGCTAATTTAAAAAATCACTGCACACACTACAAAAAATGGGGGGAAGTAAAAATTAATAAGGTTGTCTATCATTTACTAACTAAATGTACCAAACTTTTGTTCTAAAACTTGCAACTTCTAAGTGCTGGCAAGAATCTCGACTGACAGGCACAGTAATGTTTAACTGCTGGGACTGTCCGCTGGCTGACTCACAAGGTCTTCCCTTCTTTTTCCTGGTTAACAGGGCATGCTACTACTTAGGTGGCCTTAAGAACTGTAACCTTTTTTTTTTTTTTTGAGAAAAACCCTTCTTTTGACTTTAATGGTTCTTTCAATACACAGCTGAAATCTCTGCTTTGACTTCATTTAGAAGTTTTCCTTCTGTGTTTATAAACAAATTTTTGTCTATAATTATCTTCCCTCTGTACTGTGTGCATCTAGTTTGGCAGCAATTTAAAAGCTCAGCTCACTAAACCTGCGAGTTTTCATTCCTTTACTGTTCATTGAAGCATCTTCATTTCAGCTTGTTTAAAGATATGTGAAAAATATATCAATAAAACTTTTAAGCCGGGCGGTGGTGGCGCACGCCTTTATTCCCAGCACTCAGGAGGCAGAGCCAGGCGGATCTCTCTGAGTTCGAGGCCAGCCTGGGCTACCAAGTAAGTTCCAGGAAAAGGTGCAAAGCTACACAGAGAAACCCTGTCTCGAAAAAACAAAAAAACAAAAAACAAAAAACAAAAAAAAACTTTTAAAAGACAATACAGCTGAGCATGACTTCAGGGTCTAGTGAAACATCTAGCATATGTGTCTTTTCAGTGGACTTTTGATAACTGATTCATTTCATGTTGTCACATTACTGTGCTTCATGTTTTCTAATTCTGCAAATGATAACTATGTAATTAGTATATAGTGTCTATGAATTAGGTATTGCATCAAAATTAAAAATTTAGGAATCAGGTTACTAATGACATTCTTTTTTTTTTTTTTTTTT